CCCCCCCAACAGGCAACTTTGCAGGTTTATTTTAACTAACCAATAAACAAATCCTGCCAAGAGCCCCGAGGCAAGAATAGTGATGTGAACTTTTTAGGACTACAATATTTATTAAATTAGATTACATATTTATTCCATACAGGGGTCACCATTGGGTGGAAGCTCCTGCCAAAATGATTTCTGCCCCCCACCAACACAAGTTCTGACTACTATGTATTAATAGAAGCTCGGGCTCTATATATTATGCTGGGCAGTAAACATGGATTCGTACCTTAGACAGGGTACTGAATATGATTATGGTTACTGTTTCAGGGATTCTCAGCTTCCCTTTGGGGGGAATTTATCAAAACTGGAGCAGAAGAATATGGAGCAGTTTCCTATTGCAACCAATCAGCTTCTCTCTTCAGTTTGCTCAGTTAAGGTTTGAAAATGAACGGTGGATGCTGATTGGTTGCAATGCACAGCTGCTCCAGATTTTGTCTGCTCCAGTTTTGATCAATTCCCCTAATGGTGTTTAAAGAGCAACTCTGCATTGTTTGCATCAGTGAATCAGAGGCAGGGGTATGTAGTGTGTTCTCTATACTGACCTTCAGGTCTCCGTTCTGTGGATCCCTTACTGGAATGTCTTCATCAAAACTGCTTTATACTATACCATACTGCTATATAACTTGTATAATTGTTATTATTATTATTATTATTTGTTGTTATTATTTTTATTATTATTGTTATTTGTTAATATTATTATTTTTAATTTTTATCCCCTTCTTTTAGTCAAAGGGACTTCTCTTCCTCAGGCTGAGCTGGAACAATTTAAACACTGGGGGGAATGCAATGGACTGCAGGGTTACATGGAGTTCAGCCTCACTTTCAACTATGGTATGAAAATGTCTCCCTCCTCCAGTGACTTCGGCCATTGATTACCCCCTATGGGTGTCACACGTAATCTAACATTTGTTTCCTGTTTAGCACAGACATGTTTCGGTATGTTTCACCCGTCTGATGAGTTGGAGGAGATGAAGGTTTGTGTCTTTTTTATGGGCTATTGATCATATTATTGTGTTTATTGCCACTTAAAGGTGAACTCCGGGCACACAAACTTCCATTGAAATATATTCTTCCGTATCCACAAAGGATATACATCCACTTTGTGTGCACCAAATGCCTTTACAAACAGTTATGACCTTGTATAAAGTATTCGTGACATCATCACTGTTCTGTACATAGCCTGTGCAGAGAGCAGAGCTTTGGGAGGGACCCAGCAGGCTCCACCCACGACAGGCTGTCTGCAGAGAACTACAGAAGGGGGGCGGAGACAAGATCAGTCATCCTGCACAAGGAGAGAGCAGCAGTGATTGGTCTTTATTACAGGAGGGGGCAGAGACAAGACCCGTCACCCTGCACAAAGAGAGGGAGAGAGCAGCAGTGACTGGTCTTTGTTACAGGAAACTCCAAGGGGTCTATTCACTAAGCTGCCGTAGGCAGCCGAGTGCACGACCGACCTGAAGCGAAGTGAGCTGAACGCTGTTCGGCTATTCAATAACAGCTAGCTCCGTCCAACTGTTCTATTGGCCGGCGGTTCTGCTGCCGTCAAAAAAAAAGAAACAAAAAACATTTTCGCCATAGGAATGCATAGGTAGATTCCTATTGGCTATTTCAATTTGCAATAGCCAATAGCAAACTAGCTATTGCACCCCCCTTCTGCTGCTGTCAATCACTAGTGGGGACCTGATGGAGTACTGCAGGTCCCCTCTGCTGATTGACAGCTTTTTTATTCTGACGACAGCCAATGGCTCCATGTCAGAATAAAAAAAAAAAAAATACAGGACTCTTGTATTTAGACAAAATGTGCTTATCCCAGACTTTTTATAAAGGTCTGTACATGAGATCAAAAAGAGGGACAACTGAGGAGGACAGAGGGGCAGGGGGACTTGGTTCTAAAAGATCAATGGTGCTTTCAAATGAGGGACAGTTGGGAGCTATGTACCTCTATGGGCATTTTAGTGTATTGTAGTCTTTTTTAGGCTTTTCTGCCTTGACATTTCCATAACTTGTCCTCTGCTGTAGGACGATGTTAGTTCCTGGCATCTCATAGCTAAATCTTCTAGCAATGCTGATCGACGTTATGAAGTCAGAATCCTCTATAAAGCGAGGCTGGAGATCACAAAGAAAGGAGAAGAATATACATTGCGGGAGATCATTACAGCGTGAGTTTCTGCCATTTTAGCAGCTGCTTCAGCAATCAATTCTACAATTCAGTTTTATACACTACGAGAACTTTAACAACATTCCTT